AAAAAAAAAAAAAAAAAAAAAAAAAGATGGTTTAGGGCTTAGGGTTTAGGGTTTAGGGCTTAGGGTTTAGGGTTATGGGACTGAGTACTTACATGTTATAAGCCCACTGATGGTTGAGTTACCCATATCAGTCAAGTTCTGGGAGCTTTTTTTTTAGGCCCAGTAAGTAATTACTAAGACCCCCGAATCTTGAAGCGGTAGAGTCGGCATATAGGCCTAAGGCCCCCCAGTTTGACAAACCACTATACCCTAAATCCGACAATAGCCTAGAAGCCCTTTAAAAGAGTCCTACACACTAAGCACACGTACCTAAACCTTAAACCCATATACTCTGTGTAATGGGAGCTCAAGGTAATCCCAAACCCTGGCCTATGGCAAGCAGCACGGCTGGAACAGAACTAGACCTGCCGCAGTTCCGGTTTAGGGTTTCGAGGCTTGCGGGGTTTAGGGCTTGAGGGCTTGGGCCCTTTGGAGTTTTAGGGATTTAGGGCTCTAGGGGGTTTTGGGGGTTCCGGGCTGAAGGAGTTTGGGTGGTTGGGGTTCAAGGTAATACCCCAGACCCAAGACCGTAAACCCCCAACCCTGTAGGGTTTTGGGGTTTACAATGCGCGGGCTGGAGAGCTGAATGTTACTGTAAGGGCATCTAATAAACCCTAAACCCTAAACCCTAAACCCTAATCTAATAAGAAGACTTCAGGTCCAATCCTGGCCTAGGGGTGGGGATGAGTTTAGGGCTTAAAGTCCAACTCCTGAACCCTCATGCGGGGCCTGCATGAGCACTAACTCTGGTTTAGGGTTTAGGGTTTAGGGTTTAGGATGAGAGCTGGGGGGAAGGTACGGGGCTTGATTCTCCCAAAAAGGCCTCACGAAGGAGCCAATGAGCCGTAGTCTAAACTCCTAGCATCCCCCTATAGTAGTCCCCTATATGGGGGTTTGGGGCTCCCTGTAAAAGGATTATAATATTTTGGGTCTACATTGGGGTCCCCCTATTTGGGGAAACTACCATATAATCCTTTGGGGAATTTAGACTATTGCTCAAATAAGGCTTAAAGCCTCAATTAGGCTGTAGGTCACCTTACACCCCCCCAAGCTCCCCATGAGCTTTTCAGACACTGGTGCGAGCTAGACTACCATACCATGGGTACAGAGAGGTTCATAAGACTTCATTGCGCTAGGCGTCGAACACTGCTCTTAACCACCTACCTAACTGGGCCTCCGAGGCCCCATGGAGGATGGGATTTTTCAACCCAGCCTGACAACGAAATGCTTCCAGTCCTGGTCCGAGGCATCCGCGGACGGAAAGTCCTGCAAGATCACAGAGGTGTTCGGTTGAAGAGCCTATAGTATATTGGGGTTATATAGGGATAATGGAAAAGAAAATGGAAACCACAATGAAGGGTTATATAGGGTTTAGGGTTGAAGGGCCTAGGGTTCAGTGTCTAGGTTTTAGGGTTTAGGGTTTAGGGTCTAGGGTTTAGGGTTTGGGTTGAAAAGCGCAGGGAAGCTTTGGAGAGTCAAGGGGATACATAGGGATTACAGGCTATGCACGGATATATACGGTTGAGGACTTAAGAGAAGGCGCTGAGAGTTCTCATGGTACCACAGCATACTTTGGTGGACCCTAAACCCTAAACCCCAAACCCTAAACCCAGAAAACCCTAAACCCCCTTAGGATGCTGTTGGGAGGGGTACCTCAGAAGCCCCGAGGAGGGCTCAGGCTTAGAACACGGGTTGAGGGTGTGGGGTTGGAGGTTCAGGGCTTGTGGTTTTTGGGTTCAGGGTTTAGGGTTCAGGGTTTGGGGTTCAGGATTTGGGGTTCAGGGTTTAGGGTTCAGGGTTAAAGGTTTGGGTACGGTTAAGGGTTTAGGGAGCAGAAAGTGTGGTAGCCTTAGGGTTCCCACATGCTGGGCCCTAAACCCTTTGGGTTTAGGGTTTAGGGTTTAAGGGTTCAGGGTTACTGCCCAACCCTGAACCCAGCCGGCCACCATCATCCAGACCCTTTCTGCTTGCTTGGCCCCTACAAAATCCGGCATGGATTTCAACCGCTTCCATTTCATTGTCCATTTTCTTGTCCGTTTGATTCTTGGTTATCCTAATTAATCAAGCCCCTAAACCCTAAACCCAATGTATCCCTCGTTCCCGAATCTTACACCTTAGCTCTCCATGAATATCCTAATTATCAAACCCCGGCACCCAACAAATTCCTACATATAACCCTAAACCCTAAACCCTTAGCCCTTAGTAATCCTAGGTCCCACTCCTTGCCTGTCCAAGCTTCTGCAGCAGGTCCACCCACCACGTGGCCTTGCAAATGCACAGAGCTCAGCTTCTCGGGTTTACTCTCTTGTTCCTAGTAGCAAATAAGGAAACATAATCCATAAAATCCATATATAATATGATGTGTGCCCGTATTCCCTACTGAGAACCAGCAAGTTTAGATAATCTAGAGCGCGTGAGGTCTGTGAGGGTCTGAGAAGGATGTATGAGAGCACCCCTCGTTCTGCAGTCGAGCAGCCAGCTGTGGCACTACGCAAGGATTCTTCTTGTGTGCCAAAGTATCCTCCTCTCCGGTGCTGCGTTTTCTGTACCCCTCTAAGGCAGCCAAGGTCAGGGGGACTTAGGAAGGTGGCTTAATGATGGGCATATCTAGGGGGGGTTATTATGTGGCTTGTGGGATGAGACGTATATGTACTCGCTACATCCACCTGGCCAAATAGTGGTTCATGGTCAGCAAAGCGTCCCACGACAGCAGCTGGTCTCAAGCACATATAGAAGGCAGCCCACTTTATAGCACGCCAACACTCATGTAATGGAGTTTTCAGAACTTAGGGTCCTCATAGACGGCAATCAGTTATGTCTGGAGCTAGATTTCAGAAACCTCTGATTGTAGAGCCTGATCCCACCGTAGAGCCTGGACCTAGCAAATCAAGTTGCGACTGTAAACCATTACACCCTGTGTGGAAACCTGAGAACCCTTCGCCCCAAAATCCTTTTACACTCGATCCCAACCCTAGCTCCGCGCGCAAAAACGGGGAAACATATAGCTATTCATCCAACCGCCTAAGCTGTCAACACTTGACCCTATATAACCCCATTACAGTAGCTTCCATCTTCTTTTCCATTATCTCTATAAATCCCCAACATTACCCCTACATAACCCTATATATTATAGTAGTTTCCATTTTCTGTTCCATTATCCCTATATAACCCTAAACCCTAAACCCTAAATAGTAGTTTCCATTAACCCTGGAGTCCCAAAAACCCCACCCACCTTCCCTCTGAACCTCCCTCGGCCTCCCACGGGTGTCGGATGACAGGAGGAAGAGTCGGCAAGTGGGGAAGAGGCATGGCTCAGATCCCCGCAGCCGATGCTGCAAAGGACAGAGTTAGCATCTAAAACAGCTCCAGCCGAAAAATGCAGAGTCGGATCTAGGGTTTAGGGCTTGGACAAGTTTCGGGTTCAGGGTTTAGGGATTGTGGATATTACCCCCAATAAACAGATGGGGCCGAAAACCGCGCTCTCAATTAGGGTTAGGTTCTATAGGGTTCAGGGGGATAATTGGGGTTGGAAGCATAGACCGCCAGTATACAGTGGCCTTAGATGCCAGCTATACACCCTTTTAAAATACGTCTAGAAACACGGCGGGACTTGGCCTACATTACTGTTCCCATTCCCAAGATGAGGGAAATTGATATAGAGATCCGAATTTTAATGGCAACCCTATCTTTTTTAAAAAATGCACGTATTTCAGCGCATGTAGGGAAATCTCCCGTAGACTCTGCATGAATCGGAGCTTAGACTCATGGCTCCATGGAAGGGCAAGAAGACAGGGATTTCGGACCCTGAAACACCACAGATTTGGGGTTTAGGGGTTTAGGGTGTAGGGTTTTGGGGTGAGGGGTTTAGGGCTTAGGGTTTAGGCCTTACGGTTTAGGGCTTAGGGTTTAGGGTTTAGGGTCTAGGGCTCAGTGTAAGGAAAGCAGCTTGCGACTTTCAGTAACTTCACTTAGCCGAACACAACAATTTCAACTGCACGGCCGTGGCTGTTCTCTGAACGCTGCGCCAGGAATCTTCAGATCTGCCTGGTTTTCTTCCTATTTCTGACTCCTGTTTGAACTTTGGTGACTCTTCTCGTTCTCCTCTTCCCAGTTGCCGAAGTCAGCTAAGAGCCCACCCTGGCGCTTGAGTGGAGGGTACTTCCCAAACTTGGAGTGTAAGGGGACCCCAAACCTCCAATCCTTGACCTTGCAGCTGGTGGGTTTTTGTTTGCTTTCAGGGGCAGATACTTTGTAGCGACAATACCATAAACCTTAACCCTTTGTCACTAGGTAGGTATGGTATGAAACAACAGCATTGTCTATAATAGTAATGATGAAAGACTATTGGATCCTACGTTGTTGCAACTTCTGCTCTTCCCTTCCTATACACCCTAAGCCTAAACCCTAAACCCTATATAACCCTATATTAGCCCCCAAAAACACTCCAAACCTAAACCCTAAACCCCAAAAACACCCCTTCACATAAACCCCCTAAACTCCTGCATGATCCCAGGCTCCGCTCCTCCTGCTATAACTTCCATTACTGGTCCCTATCCCTGTAGGGTAGTTTCCCAAATAAGGGGACTTCTATAAAGACCCCATTATACTATAGTCCCTATTCTGGGGACCCCCCAAAATGGTGCCCCTAATTTTGGGAAACCCTAAACCCTACAACCTACTCCCTAAACCCTATATACCCCTCTATTACCCCTATATCCCACCTTAAAGGTACCTCTAATTTCCATATATCCCTACACTAACCATTTTGGCCCTACACCCTAAACCCTATCCCTCCACTTCCCATATATCCCCATATAAACATTTTGGCCTTCAACCCTCAACATTCGGCCGGGAACCCGGTACCTTGAATCCCTACGCCTTCCTCCCTACTACCTAAATCTAGGGTTTAGGGCTTAGGGTTCCTAACTCTAAATCCCTAGACCCTCAAGTACCATCGTTATACAACAAATCTAGGGCATACTAGTGCCATCATCCCTGAAACCCCCCCATACACCAGGAGCTTCATTTTTTCATCTTGTTTGCCATTCGATGTTCAATAGTTCAGGCCCTTGCATTACCCTGAATCCAAACCTTACATACTAAATCTTCTGGAGAAGCCCGGCGGGAGCACTCTTCCCGGGGCAGATGCGACGCAAAGGAGGCCTGCTATCAAAACTTGGGGAAAGGAGGCTCTTCCAAAAGAAACGGACGGTTCAGGATTTGCTGTACAGGGGCTATATTTTGGGCGATTTCTGTCAAGAGCCTTCTCAAAATGTCTGTAACCCCTTACACCCAGTCAAAAGATGTTATTTCTAATGGTTTCTTAGGTTCATACTATGCTAAAAAATCCTTAGGGAGACTGCAGGTTTAAGACTTGGGCTTCAGAGCAAAGAGGATAGGCCAGCATTGGGACATCTCATGTGAAAGGCTTATGGAACCTTACAAAACATGGGCGTTGTGGATTGAAAGTCTTAGGGCTTAGAGTTTACGGGGTTTAGGGTTCTGAGTTCTAAGATTTAGGGCTCTAGGACTTAGGATTCAACAAAACGGAGGGGTTTTCACGGCCGTTACTACAGGCATCACACTGTTGCTGCACACCCAGGCCCTAAAATTGCATGATTCCAGGGACTTGGGGCATTCAGGGTGGTCCTTTTGGGCTTCCAGGGTACCCAGACGTGGACGAGAATTTAGACATTCCCCTAATCCCTAAACTCGGAACCCGAAACCCTGAAACTTTTCTCTTTTGCACACCCTAGGCTTCAACATGTTTCTAATGCCAAAATCCCAGCAGCTGATGGACTGAATACTGCACAGCTTCCAGCGCTGTATGCAGTTTGGGACTTTGCAAGGTAAAGGGCTACAACGAGGAGATCTTGGAGGACTCTAAACCCTAAACCCTTTTTTTGGGAGTACAGTCCTGAAGAGCCAACCTCCGTCATGAAGGGGTGGTTGACATGCTAAGGTCTGAGGGTGCATGGGCAACAGTCTGGGGTTTGGGTTTTGGGGTTGGGTGTAGGGTTTAGGTTCCAGGGCGGTTGGAGGCTTTTCGGCTTTCGGCTTCTGCGGGCGTGTTAAGGCTACAACCCAAAACCTCAACCCTCACCCGGTGGTTCGGGCTTGAAGCTTTCCAGCTAAATGCTGCCGGGACCTCACTGCACCACCTTGCTTCCTAGGGAAATAATCCTTCCTCCTAAAGTAATCCCTCCTCCTAATAAGAAAGCCCCCCACCCCAAAAATTCTTACTGCCTCTTAGCAGGGAATAAGGGGGGGGAGTATGTCCCCCCTATTCCCTACTAAGAAACCAGTAAGATATTGTATCCTCCCCTATCATGCACGAGGACTATATGCAGAATATTTAACTAAAACCTAACGCCAGTCAGACTCGGCTCATGTAGGGTTAAAGATTTTAGGTTAAGGGCTTTGGGTTTGGGGTTTAGGGTTTAGGGCTTAGGGTTTAGGGCTTAGGGTTTAGGGTTTAGGGCTTTGGGCTTAGGGTTGGGGCTCAGGATCTGGGGTTTAGAGTCTAAGGCTTAGCGCTTGGGGCTTAGGGTTTAGGGCTTAGACATCTCCACCACGGCTCTAACATTGTAAACTGAAGCACGCAGATCACCCTGATTCTTAGACTCCTGGCAATAGGAACAATCGACCTACCATGACCTACCTATCCAAGCATCTGAAACCCTAAATCCTGAACCCTAAAGCCTAGCTCCTAAAGTCTGAACTCTGAGCCCCAATATCTGAACTCTAAACTAGGCCCCTTGCAAAAGCCTTTAGGTTCCAAGGGCCCGAGATCCACCCTGAAGCCTCAACTAGGCGACAAATTCTGCATCACCTGAAGGCGCAAGGGCTCAGAGCTGAGGATTTCAGGTTTAGGGTAAGTTGAGCCCCATGATCTAGCCAAGCCCTCAACCCCAAGCCATTGGCTCTAAGCATTGATCTGAGCCCTGAACTTAGGGGTTCAAGTAGTACCCCCTTCTATACTACCCCCCCTAGCTTCCCCCCTTAATTAAGGTTATTTAAGGATAACTAGGCCTAATTAAGGTTAATTAAGGGGGAAGCTAGGGGGGGGTAGTATAGAGGGGGGTACTAGCTGAACCCATAATGAACCCTAAACCCTAAAACCAAAAACCTGAAACCGTGTGGACTGACCCACGCCTGGACTCCCGTCTCCACATCGCTGCAGCCGGTGATCTTTCCAACTTCGCCAAAGACCTCCATGAAAAGGTTTTAGGGTTTCTCTAATGGGTTTAGGGTTTAGGGTTTCTCTAATATCTACAATTACCCCAACAACCGAGAAAGAAATGGAAAAGAATAACAAAGAAATGGAAATTGGGTTTATGAAGAAACTTTGGGGAGCTGCCAATGACGACTGATCTTATTCCCACTTGAGGTTAGGTATTACCCAATTGGTTTTGCTTAGGGTTTATAAGGTTAAGTGCAGCCTGAACCCTAAACCCTAAACCCAACCCGGTACCTCTACCACACACGTTCAGAGGTTCTAGGGCTCAGGGTTTAGGGTTCCCAGTTCCCAACCAAAGATCCAACTAAGTCTACTTAGCAACAGGCGTTATGGGGCTCACAACGGGGATCATTGGGAATTGGGAACAGCGGGTAGACTTACGAAGTCAACAAAACGGTTTCATGTTTAGAGTTTACAATGCTCCCACCACTAAAGTACACGCAGAAGTAGGCGTCGCACATCATCAGAGAAGAACAGGAGAAGTAAATCCTAAACACTCAATAAATTGTGATAAAATTGCCTGGCCTTCGAGACATGTAAAACGATCCAGGTACCCTGAAACTCCAACAGGCACAAGGTTTCAACAGTCGCTGAACGTACACAAAGCTGTGTCTGTTGTGTCAACCCACGACTCAATTTGGGATCTCGCATTTAGGACTTAAGGTTTTCTAGGTCTAGGCTTAGGGTGCTTATGCAAGAGCACGGCAATGCTCTAGACCCCAAATCAAAGCCCCGAACTCCAAACTGGAAAACCCTGAACTTCAACCCTGATCCACAACCCTAAACCTCAAACCCTAAACTGGTGAGCACTGCAACTGCTTTTCGGAGGGCAGCTAGGGAATTCTCCGCAGGGCGCTGGATGCCGTCGAACCGAGCTCCTGCCCACCCTCATGCAGCCCCGTCCTATCTAGGGTGCAGGGAACGAAGAATGTAGCCTTGAAAGCGGGGAATGGTGTTGAACGGACTAGATGAGGTGTGGCATTTGGTGTGGGTTGGGTTGAGGGTGTGGGGTTTGGGGATGAAGTTCCACTCTGAAGCGTGTCTCAGCAAGCGAAAAGCGCATCTACAGAACCCAAAATAAGGGCCCACAAAGACTACAAGCCCTTGAAGAAGTAGGTTACGTAGGGCTCCACGTTAATTTGCGTGGTTACCTCAACCCTGCATTTTGATAGCACTTTGCCTGACGTCACAAAGCTCTACATGTCTCCGGCCGGTCTTGGAGGGGCTTCTCTCAAAGCCAATTGGGGCTCGTCGTTATTCGCGATGATTACCCGCATGCGCTCTGAGAGACTTTCCGAGGAACCCTAAGTCCCAACCCTTTTTACAATGAATATGGGTGGTCTGCATTTTTGGAATTCACAGGCACAAGTGCTTGTTTAAGTAGAGGCACGTGATCCGCGCACACCGCCAGTGTTAGGGGTTCTGGAGTAGCTCCTGAACCCCAAACAAATAACTTTCGAACCCAAACACTGAACTTTAGACCCTACACCCTTCTATCCTGAAAGCTCAAACCTTCCAGTGTAGGGCCTACACCCAAAGCGCTTAAAACGCAGACTCTGAAACCCCTACGCCAAAATTCTTCTCCGTACCTGAAAGCCCGATTTCATGGCATTTTCCATGTTCTTTTCTATTTGATTCTCATCCTTTAATCGTTTCCAGCCCTAAACCCTAAGCCCTTCACCCTAAACCCCGAACCCGGAAACCGCACAGACTCGCACTTTCCGTCCTCATCTTCCACCAATGACCTCAGAAAGGCTTCCTTGGCGCCACACGCTTACAGCTGTGGGTTTAAGGCTTAGCGCTTGAATTCTGAGTGTAGGGTGCTTCGGGCTTAGGATTTTAGAGGGGCAGGAATTTGGGGCTTGTGACCTCCAAAAAATGGAGCCCCTGTTGGAGGACTTTCTAGAATAAGGATTTTTTCAGCACTTGGGGGTTGATAGCTTGGGTGACGATTTGGGCGATTTCCAAAATTAGCGACCCGGGGAACACAATTGATACCAGCAGAAAAGAGGTTAGACCCCTGAAAGACTCTGGAAAGTAGCACCCCGGTGCACTACCTCCTGCTACTATAAGATAATTTGTAGGGACCCTGAGCTTAGCCCACATACCCTATAAACCCTCTATAACCCCTATAAAACCCTATGAGATCTTCTTTCTTAATCCTCCTACTAGGGGTATCCGTAGAGTTTTAGGGATGAAGGGCTTGAGGCTGACTGTGTTTAGGCTCGGAGACTGGGGTGCAGGGCCCTAAACCCTAAACCCTCTACCCTAACCCCTCTAGCCTAAACCCTAAACCCTCTACCCTAAACCCTAAACCCTCTACCCTAACCCTCTACCCTAAACCCTAAACCCTCTACCCCAAGCCCTAAACTGTCCCCACAAAACCATTTTGAAGTCTGGCCTTGGGATCAGGATCAGGAGTTTGGGGCGGACGGTCCGGGGCTCAGGGTTTTAGGGTTTGATGTTTAGGGGGCAGCACGCAGGGCTTCAGGAACTTTCAGGGAAACTGCTATGTATCTGCTATGCTTTTGAAGGGTCACCCTAAACCCTCAACCCTAAACCGATTTTTTGAATGCCAGAATCCCATGCACGATGTCCTCACCAGCTTCAAGCAGAAAAAAAAAGTTGCCAATCTATGCACTACCAAGGAATTGGTGCTCCTGGGACTTCATGCTGCGGGGTGATTTAACTCAAGTACACCAACTCCTGTGTTGATCGTGATGATCACAAGGCACTCCAGAACCCTCTGCCTAAAAGACAACCCCTGAAACCTAACCTGACCTCCCACACCTTCATAAGCCTTCATTGGGATTTTGGTATTATTTTAGGGGTTGAGGTAACCCAACTGCCCACCCAACATCCTCAACCTTAGCCTTTCGTGCGATAAAGCCAGGTGAGTCGCCGATCGACTTCCGCTGGTTGCCACAATCGCCAAGAGTTCCACCACAGTTCGGCGGACCTGCTTGGGGGGTGGGAAAGACATAGCAAACAGGTAAATTTGGGGATAAGCGGGGTTACCATCTATATTACAGGGCTGATGAGCATACTTACTAAGCTTACTAGTTTCCATCAGGGTTCGAGAGCTGTACCCCCCAGAAGCCTCCTCCTGAAAGGCTAAGGTTCCCCCAATAAGCCTCTCACATGAACCCACGTAGTCTCACAGTCTTTAGGGTTTAGATTTTAGGCCTCTCATGTGCCCGTGTAGTCCCCTCTATAGGAACCTTAGGCCCAGGGGTACAATCTTAGGGATACAACCTCCAAGGCCTTTATGGAAGAGAAAGGGCTACAACCTACGGTCGGCTCCATAATCTCCGTCCAATCCCTCTACACCCCCTGAAACCCCATACCCTAAACCCCAAACCCTAAGTTATAAAGAACCCTAGGGCGCTCCAAATTTCAGAAGAACCTCCATATCTCAAAATCAGGTTCAGACCCTAGGATCTAAGACCTAAACCCTAAACCGCTATCCACAAATCAGAGGCTTACAAGCCGTCACCTCCAGGTCTTCATGCCCAGCATATCTGAGCCTGGGGTTCAAGGCTTTAGGGTCTAGGGTTTAGAGTTTAGGGTTTACGGCTTAGAGTTTGGGGTTTAGGGTTGCAGTTTGAGGTTTCAGGGTTTGGGTTTAACGTTTAGGGTTTAAAGTTTAGGGTTTAGATTTTAGGGCTTAGAGGTGCACTCAGCTGGGGCTTCGGTCATAGACCTTACTTCTGACATCTGAAGGTTATTGCTTGCGGGCCCTCTTAAAAAGACCTCATGTACACATCACTGATATTCTTGCGGTAAAGCACTCACTGATTTTCTTGAGGTAAACCCTGAACCCTAAACAGACAACTACCATGTCGTCCCTACACGCAGTCTTTGGACCTGTCGTTTAGCGGAGCTTGGCTTGCTGAGGCATGAAATTTGTGCGTTTCTTTCGGAAGAGTCGACAAATCTGAACTTTGTTGCCTTTGGTTTTCTCATCAGTGGCCTACGAAATCCGCGAACACTCTAAATCCAAAAGCCTGAGCCCTAAGCTCGAAGCCTAAAATCCTTTGCGTTCGCTAGCTTTCGTTTGACAAAGGAACAGCGCTTCCTCCAGGTCGGTGTCCCCGCGCTGGGACATTTTCCGGATGGCCTTCAAGTCTTCAAGGGTCTTGTAGGAGCTTAAAGGTCTGTTCGTGGATTCCCTCTATAAAACTGTAAACGAAAAACGTAAGGATTCGGAGGCATGCCTGCAGCGGTTGCACTATGGCGTCAGCATGCATCAGGACGGTGGAGAAGCTTTAGATAGCAAGAATCCTCGTAGGTGCGTAGGTGAAAGAGCCCTCAACCCCCACACCTCCTATTCCCCTAAACCCCGAAGCTCCAAGGCCTGCACTGCGGCATTACTTACGGAGAGGTCTGGGTCCACAAGGCAGTCCACAGCTGCCGACAGGCAGCGTGGCCGGTTGCACCTGAGCTGCCAACAAGGCTTGGGGGGTGAGGGGGGGCGTTAGGGGGGCTTTACGGTCTTAGGATGTTAATGTTTAAGGTTCGGGTTCTTTAGGGTTTAGGCAAAAAGGGTTAAAAGGTTGAAGACTTGGAGGTTTTAAGAGAGCTGAGGGTCTGCGGCTGGGCGCCTCGGCCATGGCATGTACCTTCTAGGCTCAGTATGTTGATACCTGCACGACCCTACATGCCTATTCTTTGGGAAGCATGGCAATTTAGTCAAGTAGGGTCGGGATCTTTAGTCTCCACCGAAGCGTAGCCTGTGGTTCTTATCTGGGCTCCTCACCCTAGTTAGAACCTTCCCTAGTTGCAACTCCACACAAAAATCCCATGAACCTCCAGGCCGTAAGGCTCCTTGGAGGCATAAGATGATTTCAGCCGTAGTATAACTGTACGTATAGCTGCATAAGCCCCTGGTATACAACATTTGGTTGTTCGCCCAAGCGTCCCTTTTCCGACGGTGCGTAACAATTATTTCGATCAAGCGTCCAGATCCCCGTGTATTAGGGGCGCAAAGAGTCCCAATTAAGTGTGACAATTGTCTCAACGTCTCTTTCCTTGCCGGCACAGGTGCTGTTTGAATGGGCCTTGTATCAATGCTTCAGAAGAGCTTCTCTTTCTGTTGTCTGCAGCCAAACAAAACAGGCAAGGAGCGCTCTGGCAATTCTATAAACTGCAAGTTTAAATCCATCAACCTAATTTGAGTTGAGGGTTTAGGGTCGAGAAATACGGTCCCCATTATGTACCCAAGTAGTATAGTCCTTACTATACAGACCCTAAAACAGGACCCAACTTGAATTACAACTACCGGGCCCTAATCAGTTTTAAGTTATATGTGCAAGTAGGGTGTATAAGATCCTTGCCATACCTGATGGGTGTCTGGGATCTGCGGACTACGGCGACGTTCTTGCCGGTTGCTTATAAGGAATAAGGAAAAGAAACTGGAAACTACGACTTTGTTACAAGATGACTCTGGTATCTCCAGCCCCCTGATTGGGACCCTACTCTGGTCATATGATATTCAGGGGGTCCCACTTTGGGGTTGTTTACCTAAAGTCTAAACCCTAAACCCTTAACCCAAAAAAACTCATGAAGTATGTAAGGCATCATACGGAGGCCACTATAGGGATCCGGTCCCTCCTATCAACCAACCAGCCTTTGCAGAGCTTTTGGGTTGACTCGACAACATGAGAGGCCTTACAAGGGTTCAGATAGGGTTTAGGGTTTTAGAGTTTAGGGTTTAGGGCTTAGGGTTTAGAGTTTAGGGTTTAGAGTTTATAGTTTAGGGTTTAGGGTTTAGGGGTTTTGGGGTTTAGGGTTTAAACACCCAAAAGCAGCCCATCTTCAAAGTACAGGGCCCATCTGAGGCCGTTCCTCAGAATATCAGGAGCCCTTCAAGACAGCGATGAAAGGAGCCTCTAGAAGTTTTCTAGAGGGATTCTATGGGAAGGGTTTCCCTCGTCTTGTGGCATTTGGACCCTAGGCCCTGGGCTTGAATCCCCAAACCCCCAAACACTGAAACCCTACGCCTGTGCCCTAAACCTTACACCTTAAACCCTAAACCCTAAGCCTTGAACCCTAAACCTTAAACCCTAAGGCCCAACAATCAAACAACCCCAAAAACTGCTCAGCCAGGGCGCGAAGAAAGGCGCGGCAAGGCCAACAAGATCTCGCCTGGGTCCCACTCGAGTCATTGTCTAAACTCCTAGCATCCCCCTTAATAACCCCTACTGCAGGGTTTAAGGTTTAGGGTCCAGACTTGTAGTATCCCCCTTACTGGCCCCTATGCTACTCTTTTATAAATTCCCCTGTATAATCCCTTTTGAGGAGATTAGAGTATAGCTGACTTGGAGGCCTCTCGGAAAACGACACAGACACCTTTCAGGGCTCTACATTAATAAGCTTTACTGTGGGTGGAAGAACTTTTTAAAGCTATGGCTCAAATTCTCGACTGAATCTAAGACTTTTAGTACGGAGATGATGCATAGGTAAAGAGCTTAGGATTTAAAGTTTTAGGTGTTAGTGTTTAAGGCTTGCAATTGAATGTGCAAAGGTTAGGGGTCCTGCGTAGTAGACTTTACTTGAGATCCATAGAACTTGGGTAGGGCGTAAAATTTATGGCGTGCATTAAGGCCTACCAAAAGCCCTAAACCCATATAACCCTATATAGTCCGCATAGGACTGATTTGGTTCTCTATAACCGCTATATAACCCTTAACCTAAATCCCTAAACCCCTAAACCCTCCATAACCCCTTTATAACCCCCAATAACCCCTAAAACCCTCTGGAACCCCTTTATAACCCTCAACCCCCACCCCCCACAACTCAAGCCAAGTCTCATCTTAATTGCGCCGCAAGAGGGCCAGGTTCCAGCTTGCTAAGCATAGCGTCCAAGGCAGCTGCAGATGCTTGGCCTCAACATCGGGTGGAGGTGGTTTAGGCTTGTAGGGTTGAGGGTTATAAGGTTTAGGGCTGTAGGGTTATAGGGTTTACGTGCAGGGGTTAGCTTGGCTTTAATATGGGGGGAGGGCAGGGGGGATAGGGATTAGGGTTCCATATACGGTAGTTTTCAAAAACTAGGGTCCCATTTTGGTACCCCCAAATATTAGGAGCCGTACTAAAACCTATAACCAAAAAAGGGGCCAACAATTTTGACAACGACCCATCAACCCTAAACCCTAAAACCCTAAACCCTAAGTTAGGGATTAGGGTTCCATATGGGGTTTATTCACAGACCTACTCATCCCAAACCCCAACACCGAGAAGCCCAGGCACTTGGCTCTGGAGGCCACAGGGCGGATATAGCCTTAGGAGTTGGGAGGTAATTAGGGTTTTAAGGGATTTAGGGTTTTTGGGTTTAGAATTTTAAGGTTTTAGGGTTTAGGGCTTAGAGCTTAGGGTTTTTAGGGCTGTGGGCTCAGGGCTTAGGGTTTAGGGTTTAGGGCTTAGGGTTTAGGATTGAGGGTTGAGGGTCATCTGGGTTTCCGGAGGAGGAAACAAGGGGTCTGGCCTGTGCCATCCACCCCCTCCGAAAGTAGCAAGGGACGAGGATCCTATTTGTAGCAACTGCCCTGGGAAACCCTAAACCCCAAGCCCTAAACCTTAAGCCCTAAACCCTAAACCTTAAGCACTAAACCTTAAGCCCGAAACCTAAAGCCCTAAACCCTAAACCCTAAGATGCCTAGCAGGGACCCAGCAAACCTAGGCGGGTACATTATAAAGCACTAGTGCTATTAGCAATCGTAAGTTTCGGGTTTAGGGTTTAGCTAGAAGGAATGCCTGGTTATAACTTGGGTGCTTCTGTGCCTAGCCTAAATCCTAGAAGCCCCTCTATAATCGCAGTCTCCCTTTCAGTTGCACTTTTTGCCATGTGATTCGGCATTCTTCGCATGGAAAACGCGCGAAACTCCGAGAAAACGCTACCAAGGGCACCGAGGATCCTGCACTGCGGCCTGCGCCACCTCTACAGCTTGTGTTTCTAGAGGCCCGAGGCTAACCACGGGGGTTTCAGGGTTTTAGGGCTTTAGGGTTTTAGAGCTTTAGGGTTTTAGGGCTTAAGGTTTCAGGGCTTTAGGGTTTTAGGGCTTTAGGGCTCTAGGGTTTTAGGGTTTAGGGTTGTTTAGGGTTGAGGGTTTCAAGGTGTAGGATCTTCTAGGGAACTGTTACTTGGAGGTTCATCGGTAGTTAAGAGGGGCTTGAAGTAGGTCGGCTATAGTCAGATCCTAGACTAGGCAGTTTCTAGCAGTACTAGGATTTTAGGGTTTAGGATCTTTTTAAGGTTTTAGGGTGTCGGGGTTTGGGGTTTAGAGCTTGCTCTGAACTCCCCACCCCAGAATCCTTCTGCAGGCATGCAGCTGACGAAAGCTGATGATATGAAGGTACCTGAGTTCTGAAGGTGCAGGCTACAAAATGGATATGCGTCAAGTTATCTCCTGTGTAATTCCTGCGGCGGACTCCTATGCTCCCACACATCGCTGTAGTCCCTAAGCATACTACAAACCTAAGAACCAAACCTTAAAAAGTACTCACCCCCGAACCCCATTTTGCCAGGGTCCCATGTAGAGTCTCCCAAAATTAGGGATACGTTTTTTTGGTGTGGTGGTTCTGAGCACCATGATCCAAGCCTTTTCCCTTCCATCGGGGCTGTGGTCCAAAAAAGCCATGATCGATGTGGCCGCCCTTTCCGGGATCTGCGCCAAAAGCCCAATTTGGATCAGCGCGCTTGACAAAAAGGCCGGGATCGACGTGGCCCTTTCCAGGATCTCCACCAAAAGCCCAGTTCGGATCAGCGCCCTTTCCAAAAAAGTCGGGATTGTTGTGCCCTTTGCCGGAATCTGCACCAAAACCCCAGTTTGGATCGGCGCCCTTGCCAAAAAAGCCGGGATCGACGTGGCCCTTTCCGGGATGATCTCCGCCAAAAATCCAGTTCGGATCAGCGCCCTTTCCAAAAAATTCGGGATTGATGGGTCCCTTGCCGCCCTTGCCGGCATCTCCAAATGGGGATCTCCATTGGGTTCGCCCTAAAAACTACCATATCATGTTCGGAACCCTCAAGCTTTAACCGGGCCCCCTTCGAAGATCCGTCTCAGAGCGCGTGCAATTAGGGTTTACATGATGTAGGGTTTAGGGCTAAAGCCTAAACCCTGC